GGTGGTCTTAAAATTCTTTTCCAACCACTACAATTCAGTGATTCAGCATCAGGTTTGTTTTCCAAATGACTTTGCCAACTCGTTCCCATAGTGTGACCTGTCAGTTCTCAGTGACCAGCCCTCAAATTGGCAGATCAGCTGCATCGCTTTAGTCCTTCTGGGTTCTCAAGATGTTCTTCACTCTCCTTTCCTTCCAGCTCTTGCCATCTACATGCTGCTGCTGTTTGAACTGGAGGCTGGCATTGCCAGCGCCTGTATTCTCTCCTCTGGCATCATCGTCCTGCTGATCACGGTGACACACGCCTTGGTACGGGCTTCCCAGATTTCACGCCACAACCACTCTGAGGTTTCTCACACCCTCTATGAGAACGACTCTGCCCAGCACGGTGAATCCTCCACCAGTGATCTGAACAACAAGAACGTAGCTGCACCTCGGCCTCGGCCTGAGATCCACCGAGAATTTTCCTTCCCTCCTTTCCTGGAGCACAAATCCCAGCTGGGCTCTCCATCCAGCAGCAACCTCACCTCCTCGGGCAGCCCTGGGCTTCGCTCTGAGAAGGAGAGTTACCACCCACCCCGAACACACAGGACACTGTCAGCAGAGTCTGGCCTGCTGCAGGCACAGGGCAAGCCCTGGAACGGCATCACGCAGGAGATGAGGAACGTGCTGTCACGCAAACCTGGAGCCTCAGGCAAGGACTCGACTCTGGTGTGAGTGGAAATAGGACCTTTTCACCCCATCTCATCTTAGGGGAGTTGCAGACACCAGGGTCAAGATTTGCATCTCTGTTTAGAGCTTAAGATAGGTCATGTCTCATCAGAGCAGGGGGTTGGCTGCTTTCCCACCTTGGCGTCCATGCAGCCACTGCCTGATGCTCTTTGCTTCTTCTACCAAGAAGATGCCACCTCCACTCAAAGCCAAAAGCCCCCAGCCCTTCAAACAAGGACCACATTGGCTGGCAGTGACCCAAACAGGACCCCCCATGGCTGCCCCAACATCAGCAAAGGAAGGGGAATATGTGGGTGAGAAGAAGTGACTGGACCTTGTCCATGAACAGACCTACCCATCTTCTCCAGCAGATCCCAGCTGATTTCTCAGGCTGGCTGTACCTCCCCCTGCCTTCTTCCTTCCTCCATCCCCAAGAGCTGGCACTACCCTGAGATGGTTCATACAACCAACCCAGCAGGGCTTCTCCTCAGCATGCAGCCAGGCAGGTGTAAAAAACCAAGGCAGGTGATGGATGAACAACAAAAAAGATGGAGCCAGAGCAGTCTGTGAGCTGCAGAGGGTGGGTTTGGGGTGGCAGAGAGCCCACCGCTCAGTCACCACCACATCCACCCTCTGAGCAGGGTCTGTGCAGGGAAAGGGGCTATGCTGGGGAAGCCCCAGTGCCCTGGCTCTGCTCAGGGGTGGAGGGACCTCTCTGGGGGTTACCTGAGTGCCACCAGAAGAGTGTTGATCATCAAGGCTGAGGTCCAGGAAGGGGTTTGCATTGGCACTGCTGGTCCTCTGCTGCATGCAGGGCAGAAAGTGCCAGTATTAAAGGCAGCTGCTGTGTCTGTGAAACACAAGCAGGTTTATCTCCCTGTCCCTGTGCTGACAAACACCTCGCTGGTCACTCCCAGCCCCAGAGCAGCAGCATGCTGGGTTCTTCCCCAATTCCCCATCATTCAGCATTTTAAAAAGCATTTCACAGAGAGAAAGGAGGCCACTGATTCAACCAGATTCCCTCTCTCCTTCCTGAAAGATCCCTGTTATCCTGAGCACAACAGAATTTCTATGGAAAATGAGTTCAGCACTGCTTTGATCCCTGCATCCCTGGTAAATTCTTCAGCAGAACAGAACTGGTGGTTCCAGGAGAGATTAACACTGAAGTTGCATCCTTTTTAAAGTGACCTCCAAAGCTGTGCTTACAGCTCTGCTTCCCACTGCTTGACAGGGGATGAAGAAAGTCCTTTTTTTTTTGTTTTGGGGGGGTTTTTTGTTTTTTTTTGGTTTTTTGTTTTTTTTTTTTTTAAGAACAGGACAGTTTCTTTTCTCACTTGAAAGGCTCCAACTCTGCATCTCTTTGTTTTCCTCCATGCCTTTCGAAACACGCAGAGCCAGCAGGCTTCAGGACCACCCCCAGCCTGAGGCGAGCAACAGGGGAATGTTTTAGACAGGACTTTGGTTTGTTTTTTTTCTTTTTATTATCGTTCTCACCAAATTCAGCAACTCCCTGGCACACACATGAAAAAACTCTCCCTGCAGCATAGCTCCTGAACAAAGCTGAAGTGTGCCTACATTATGATGCCTTTACACAGCCTTCTACAAAATACTGAATGCAAGACCTAATTTTTTTTCGGTGATATTTCTGTGGCCAAGAGGTAGAGAGAAAAACACCTCATAGCAGTCTGCCATCAAAAAGAGCTGGAAAGGATAAAACAGAACCATTCCCCTTGTGGAAAGTGCTGTGGAAAGGGACACAACTCCTCCCCAAAGCAGCTCTCAAAGGCAGTCCTGACCCCAGGGGCAGGATTTGTCTGCTCAGGTGCAGCACCTTGTTGTTGGGAACAGAGAGGGAGGCAGAGAGCTCTGTGCAGCTTCAGAGACTGAGCGGGTGGTTTCTCACTCCTCCCTGTGGTTGGAGAAGATAGAGCTGGGCTGGAGAAGGCGGCAGAGGACAAGCCAGTCTTGTCTGAAATCAGGAACTGGCTGGAGGATTCTTGCCTTGTGGGGCAACAGGGCTGTAAAAAGAAAGAGACAGTCACATCCAGCGGGCAGGACACGGGCAGCCGTACGGATGGGAAGAATCAGGGGCTCCCTCAAATAAGCAGTGAGCTGTAAGTTTGCAGCAGGAGAGCAGCTCAGGCAAGCACACCTTTCTCTGCACAGCTTATGGAGCAGCACACGCCAGCCTCCTGGGTGTCAAGACAGCAATCTTCACAGTCACAGTGCTGTGAAAACCACTAAAAATGCTCTGGGCTGCACAGAGTGTGACCCTGCAACGTGGGCAACGGGGAAAATACAGAACCTGAACCAGAAGTGTCTCAAGCAGAGTCATTCTGCAGAGACAGAGGTTCTCTGTTGGCTGTGGTGGTTTTATCAGGAATGGGCATTTGGGAATTTTCTCACTCCTGCTCAGTCAGACTCCAGCTCCAACACCACGCCCAGGTTAAGACAAACACACTAGACTCAGACATTCTGCTGGAAGATATTTTAGTAGCTGTAGTTCAACTGCAAACATACAAAAATGCATCATCCTTCTGCCACCACTGCGGGACTCTGCCCCAAAAAGAGCCACATACACGACAGAGAACAGCACCAAATGCAGCCTCTCACCTGCTCCATCTCAGTAGCAAATGCCTTTAACATAACAAAGATTTAATGTATTACAGAACCAAACATCCCTTTTTAAATAAGGCAATAAATTATTTTCTAGTTACCCTTTTGTAAACAAGATTATTTCCTTCCCAGTAAACAAAGCCAGAAGATGACTGGAAGGCAAGCAGCTCGCTCTTTCAAATAAGAGTCTAGAATCATATAACTGAGATAACTGCTGGAATATTTGCACTGGGCTGAATTACATCACCAAAGCCTCTGCCAGCCAGAATGGTCACTCAGATAAACGGGCAGTGTCACATCCCCTCGCTACCTGCGGCCCTGAGCAGCGTTCAGCTCATCCTTCATGGCTATGGCGTGTTTGAGGAGACTGTCAATGCTCTTGAAGTACACACTGCTGTCAGTCATGTTCTTTATGGCACTGGAAGAAGAAAAGAGGGAGGTGGAAGGAGATATGGAGAACTGGTTACTATTTCTGAAGGTTTTAGAGCACAGAGAGGACTGTAAATAAGAAAACTCAGCTGTATATGGTGCATTGCATCTAGCAAGCTGGTGGGTGGATTTACTGCAGATTGGCAGGTCTGCACTGTGCACAGAACTGGGACACACATCAAAGTGAAGCCCCCAAAGAACCTCTCAGCCTCACCCCAAGTAGGGCTTTACACCAGGGAGGCGTCAGGGAAGCGCAGGCGGCTTCTGTTTTATTTGTACCACAACAACCCCACCTACAAACACAACCCTCCTGCTTGGAGGAGGGTCTGGTACCTGCAGGCGTACTCCACGGTGTAGATGGCTCCTTGGCTTTGCTCCTCCCAGTTCTGCATGTCAGACTAGAAGAGAAGAGAAGGTGGCATTGTTAGGTGGGCACTGGATAGAGGCAGCGATACGCTCTGCCAGCTCAGCCCAAACAGGGGCTCTGGCTGCTTCCCACTGGAATTTGCATTTGGATTCTTCCTCCTGCTTGACAGCCTGTGCTGCACTCTGAGCACCACGCAACGAGCATTTAGAATAAACACTTATTGTGTGTATTTCTGGAAGGGCTACTGGTTCAGGCCAACACTTTGAATATTCTGGCAGAATTCCCCTTGTTTTTAGATGTTTTAGCCCACGAGCCAGCTGAGAGCCACAGCCAGTCAGGCTGTCAGCAACCAGCAACTGCACTGTGTGTAACAGACCAGCTGGATGTTTCAGAGTGTTCAGATCTCCCAGTGTGTCTGGCTCAGCAGGATCTGAACTAACACAGAGTCCAGTCCTTAGTCCTTCATGCAAAACCAGGTAGAAGTTTGTTTTACAGCACTGAAAGTTCTCATTTCATTAGACCTGCCTTTCATAAACATTTTCACAGCTGCAAGAGTCCCCATCCTCCAGTCTGCTCAGAAACTCTGGTATCTGATCCCAAGCAGCACTCAGCACCGTGCCTTTCCTTTCACCAGCTTGGAAGGAGCCCTGTGAGCTTCCCACAAACTCAAGCAGCACTGCACGCAGCCAGTTCTGGCACGGGACATCATCGTACTCTGTAGCTCCAAGGAAAGAGAAAACCAAACAAATACACAGATCACAGCTGAATTCAGAGGTGTGGCTCAATAAATAACTACTTCAAAAGTCCTTAAGTAATTTCAGGTGCTCTTTAAAATACATTTTCATGGGAGCTAATTCTCCAGTCTGTTCTGCTGAGTCGAGTTACAAGCCAGAGGAAAGCCAAGGGCCTCTTTCTGTGAGTGAAGGAGGTCAGGTAGGAGCTTGGGCTGCATCCAAAAATCACTTCTGCTGTTCAAAGCCTGCCCTACATCAGGACACTTGACCACATAGCTTTAAATGACAAAAGAAACAAGTCTCTACACGCAACACTCCAGGCATTGCTCTGGAGGAGAGTGTCCTTCCTTCCACCCAGGACTCACAATCCCACAGAGACCGCACTTGTCCCAGAGTCCACTCACGTTTTACACGACTGTAGCTGTCGCTGGGAACATGCTTTGTGTGTGGAGAAACTGCAAAAGATGGAGAAACATTCCAGCAGCTCCTCACCCTGCTCTCTCCAAGAGGTGCCAGATGATCTTTAACAACCATTTAGACCCCGACATCACACTGGCTCGGCTGTACGTGTCACGGCTGTTTGCCTGGGGTGCTGCTGTTTCTCAGCCCCAGTAGATTTTAATCATTTCCCAGTAGCAAAGCCAGTGATTGTCTGTTCCCAGCATTCCCACCAATTCCTGGGATTTTCATGTCCTTAATTAGGAACAAGAGCCTTTCCCTAGAGCTCCTCACTTCTTAATCTTTTCTTGATGTCCTCTCTTAAATTCCCAGGATGCAGTTTAAGAACTAAAGCCAGCTATTAATATACAATAGCACTAATGATATATTACTGTTGCTTGGAAATAAATTAATGAGGAGATGGAAGTTCTCAAAAGACCAGGCAAAATCCAGAAGGTCTGTTCTGCACAGAGCAGGGTTTAGCAGCACAGCTACGAGGCATGGAGGCAGCGAGGGCCAAGCATCCCTCTTATCAGGGAGGTGGTAAATCTGCTTGGAGAGTTTGAGATGGGGAGGAAGGTATTAAGATTATTGTTTTATCAAATCACAGAACGTTGCTTGTTGTAAAGGCGTGGAAGGTGACCTTCTCTTTGCAGAAACTTTTCTCCCAGCCTTCTCCCTCCTAATTTTTCTTAAGTTTAATCCCCTGGGAATTTCAAAAGCTGCATTTCAGGAGAACTCAGACAGAGAGGGAGTTGCTGCACAGCTGAAGGAAAGCTGGAAACCAC